TCTGGAGTGACGACCAGTCACAAGCATTGCAAGAGCTACCGATGCATCCCGAAAAAGTCACTGTTTGGTGTAGATTATGGGTCGGTGGCTTTATCGGGCCGTACTTCTTCAGAGACGACAATGGCCGAAACGTTACTGTGAATGGCGAGCGCTACCGTGTGATGATTGACTTTTTGTTCCCCAAATTGAAAGAATTGGACATGCCTGACTTGTGGTTTCAACAAGACGATGCCACATGCCATACGACACGCGAAACAATGGCCCAATTAAAAGACACCTTCGGTGAACAGTTTATCTCACGTTTGGGACCTGTCAATTGGCCACCAAGATCGTGTGATTTAACGCCTTTGGATTATTTCCTGTGGGGTCATGTTAAGGCTCATGTCTACAGGGATAAACCAGCAACGACTGACGCTCTGGAAGCCAATATTGAAGCAATTATACGTAAAATACCAGTCGATATGTTAGAGAGAGTGTGCCAAAATTGGACCTTGCTCCATCTAAAGTCATTTAAAGCGGAGCCGCGGACAACATTTGCGTGAAATAATCTTCAAACATCAAATTATATTGATTGTTTTATCGATTCCAATAAAGATTTCATAAATTTTTTCAAATTTTTTGTGTTTTTGTAAAATCGTATACCTCTTAGAAAATCACCCGTTATTACTCACCCCTTTTGCTAAGCAATCCAGCACGATATCAGTCACTGAAGACATGCCCGAAGAAGCCATTGCATGGCGAAACATTGTTGCGTTTTTGTAAAACTGTTTAATAGAAATCTCACAATAAAGTGTTTTTTGAATACTTTATGGATTTTCATAAAGTATCGCCCGATTACATCATATATCACAACACGTGTTTCACTATACTGAATTTTTCCTAAATAGTGTTTTACATAATATAACAGTTCGAATCACATGTTTAGGTACGAACCAATTAAAACATTTTCAAACATTAGGAAATAAATTTAATATATTCTTCAATTGGATTTAATTTGATCATTCGGTACATTTTCAGAATTCTCAAATATATTCATTTCTGAGCACTCCTAAAAATCGAGTTTCAAACATTACTCTTTTAAATGTAACACGTCTCAACCAAAATATGGTTTGCAAATGTGAAATTGATCTGCACACTTGAGAAACTACTTATATGCTCTTTTATTATCTGGAAAAATTTTCAACCTGTCTGGCCAATATGATGTTTTGATCAAGAACCACAACTCAACTTATTTACTCCTGATATACCCGAGTCTGAAGTTTTGTCTTTATTGTTTTCTATGAAGTTGCTTAAATTAATATTTGTTCTGTAAAACATGTGCAACTCATTCTTTTTTAAAAACAAACGATATTATTGATGGGTTTACCAAAGTATATCAATGTTCTATGATGCTACTATCGTTTCTTGAGGTGGGATAGACCTGGTAAATGGCTTGTTTTCATGGTTATTTGGAAAGAATTGAGTCTATAGTATGTAATCGTTGTTAATAGAAGTTTTATTGGAAAAATTCAGTTGTTTCTGAAAATTGCTTTCTGACAGTGAAATATTCATACTATTAAATGCTGCCTTTTTATGCTGATGATCATGCGAAGAGGAATACCCGTATAATATTGTTTGTGGAAAATTGCAAAATCATGTTTATTATTGATTTTAATATTGATAGAGCCTAGAAAATTCATTGATGAATTTTATTAATGTGTGAATGGAATTTAGAAATTCGACAAACTTGTCCAACTACCACCTCTCCTCCACTAAAACAAATTGAGATGTCATCTACGTATCTGTATCAGTATAAGAAACTGTTAATCAACTAATTATTATGAATGTCATTTTCAAGCTTATTCATGACAGTATGTAACATGTACGTGTATTTACACCAGTATGTATAGATATTATTTACTTATTTACGGCAAAGCCTATTTTTTACAAAATAATTAACAAGTTCACACATATGTATTCAAGAGTAATCTAAGCTAGGTTCAAGGAAAAAATATATAAAATAAAATTTAAAAAAACGTAAAAATAAGTTGTTGATTACAAACTTTTCAGTCTTTTTAAATGTTTCCAAAGAAGAATTAGAAATATCTGAATCTACATTGCATGTATTTGCAAGTCTCAAAATTCTACCTACGAATTCATTCCGGCCATAGTCGATGGGACAAAAGGGTTGAAGATTTCCGAATTTCTTGTTCCCCTTCGATTTACATTTAAAGTTATAAGTTATAAGTTCCGGGGAATTGATGCTACCATTGATTATTTTATGAATTAGTGTAAGATCTGATTCTAATCTTCTATGAGCCAGAGTATTCAAGTTAAGAATGTCCAATATAATTTTATAGTCATATTCACCAATATGATATCCCAGTTTATATGCAGAGTACCTTAAAAACTTATTTTGAACGCTTTCAAGCATATCAATATCCACATGATATGAAGAGCTCCAAAATGTGGAATTGTATTCAATTATTGACCTAACAATTAAACAATATATGATTTTTATTGATTTGAGAGGTAATTCATTTGTAGATCTAAGATTGAAACCTAACATTTTTAGTGCTTTAGAAGTAATATTTGCAATATTATTTTGTTTGTTGTTTTCAGTTCTGATTGATTGATTTTATATGGCCGGTTAATGGCATTTTTGTTTCGGAAAAAGTGAATTTTTGATATTTGTCTATATTTATTTACAGTAGATTTATATCACACCAGCGAACAAAGTTAGATAAATCGTACTGTCATAATTCTGTATCAGTTGAGTCTTGAATAACTTTAAACATCTTCAGGTCATTAGCAAAAAAAAGAAATTCACTATAAAGAATAACATCTTTCAAGTCATTTACAATTAGGTTGAAAAGCAATGGCCCTAAATGAGAACCCTGTGGTACACCCGACGAAACTGTGATTGAGGAAGCTACTGAGTTACCATATTTTACAAATTGTACTCTGCAGGCTAGAATAACAAAATGTTTGTCATCGAAATACTATCAACATTCTTCCGACAAGAAACATATACCTATCTGAAGGGCTCTACGAGTTCATCATTTTTAGCCCTTCGCTGCATGATTGAAACTTTTCATTATTGAAAATTATTCTGAAATAGACGAATAGTTATTGAATCTAGAATTTTCTAGGATTAACTGTCGGTTAGACAGTTAACGGTCGGATTACCATGTTGCGGTTTTGTAAACAGATATCAAGTATAAAATAGTGACACATTCAATAATCAGAAGCAAAATGTAGGCACTTAGTCTCAAGATGAGGAAATATTAAGCTGGGAAAAACATTTGAAAAGGTTTTTCAGTTCAATAAATCTAAATTCAAATTGTGTGAAGGAAATTGTTTGATACTTAAATGAAAATACATAAAGTATGCAAAAAACACTATTGTCAGGTTTTCACTAAACCTACAGTGAAAATCTCCCAATAAATTGTTTTTTGAATAGATTCAAATCGAGGAAAGAAAACACACCTACTGGTGATGAAAATGTCCATGTCGAGTAACTTTATGTTGATTTGATTTTCAGCATAAAAAAGTTGAAAGTCAAACAAACAGAAAAAATATTAAATGTTTTTAATAAACGCCCCATAAAACGTATTTCCAATTCCAACAATCACTTTGCCCCCCTTTCCCATCACGAGGATTCTCCATGCCGGTTCCTAACGCAATTAAAAGTTGTTATCAGAACTGTTTAACCGATACTGTATATTTCGGTGTACGGCAGTTGGGGAGGCGGGAGCGGGGACGGCATGCCTGCCGTTTTAAAGTTGATTTCTCTCGCTTGACTGGTTGGGAGACGCTCCAATCAATGCGGCTCGTCCTCTGTTGCGATACACGAACAGATTCCCCGGAATACCCTGCTTGCATTCCATTCAATAACTTTATCCCCGTACAATAATTCGACTACGAAAAGTATACAGGGTGTTGCTGAATCTATTAACTATCAAATCGATGTAGATTCTGTGGTAGATTGCAGTTGGTGATTTTATGATCTAGGTACACCTGTGTCTGATCGAAGATTTCAAAAAGCACGTCAATTTTCATTTCGTGTTGATTTCCTAAACTTCACATCTTTGCTGGTACCAGGTACTTTCATATTTTTTTAAGTCTAGTGATTGAAGTTGTGTAAAACAGCAACTGGCGTTTTCTTATAATTGTCTTAAATCATCACGTCATCAGTACCATTTTGGAAAACATCCCAAAACCGAGCACTGATTTCTTTCATAACATTTCGATTTTATGCCACCAAGAGGGACAAATCTGCTCTTGTCAATCCCAAAAAGGTTATTTTCGTGAAATTCAATTTTTACATGAAGGCAGATGTTTCAAAAAATGTTTTTTTCTAGTTTTAATCTGAGAAGCACTTTCGTGTATAATCTACATATCTAATTCAAAAGTTGTTATTGTTAACCCTAACCGTGTCAGGAATCACACGTTAAAAGGTAAGACCTCGTTAGTCCTTAGCTCGCACAAGTTTCTCAACCTCTGAGAGTTGTCTTTCGTATGGGGGTGACAGCTGATTAACGGAAAAACAGATTGTAAACGGATTTCTAAACAGATTCATTATCTTTCATTGTTTCACGCAACTTTCATTGATGAAGAAGTAGAACTAATCCCTCCTAAAATATTTTCTTCATAATTTAAAAAATTTTTGTATGTAGACTTACTATTAGTCACGGATTCTCAAATATTCTTGACATTATATGTATCAAAATCAACTTCTGTATCTGCCATCTGAACCATTATATTATAATGGATAAACTAAAAAACTTCTCAACCGATTCTCAATGTTTTGTCTCCTATATCAAGCTACATTATCAGAGAGTATATCAGATGTGCTTATTTTACAAAAAAATTCTCTAGAGACCTCTACAAAAATCAACCCGAAGTATAGAAAATGTGACTTTTACTGGTAATAATTTGGCGGATGCGCCGGGCAGTCTCTAGTAAACAGTAAAACGGCCCGAATAAAATTCAACACTGACGTTTTGTTATCTTTCCAGGTGTCATCAATCAATAGGGTATTACGTAACTTGGCGGCTCAGAAGGAACAGTCCTCAACTCCACCATCGTCGAGCGGAAGTGACAGCGTGTATGACAAACTGAGGCTGTTGAACGGCAACCAAAGCAGTTGGAGACCTACTCCATGGTATTCGCCAGGAAATACGACGTTTCCCTTACAGCCCCTGAGTCCGCCACCCACGATCCTCACGGATGATATAACCTCCAAGAAAGGTCAGTGGAAAATAGTAGTTTTGATGAAAGATGTTTTTTTGGATCAAAACGTGCTGGAGCGAATTTTATATTTCACTATTCCTAGTATTCATCATTTATTTATTTATACGGGATAAACCCCATTACAGTGTGAACATTTCACAGAAAAAAAGAACAATATAAAAATGTGAAATATAAACTAAAACGCTACGGAATGTTTCTGCAGCACACAACTATATAACATTATAAAATACTATAGGATATAGAATTAAAATTAAACTTGTTACTACCTTATGTAAACAATTACCAACTTAAATTATTCAATGATTGTTTAAAACGACCATAAGAGACACCAAAAATACTGATGTTTTTGTCATCTACTAACTTTAGGGTTCTTTCCAAGGGTGTATGTTTGCCATCATTTGTATGATGGAAGGGTATATGAAATAAATGGCTGTGTCGAAGATTCCTGTTCAGAACATGAATGTTGACAGATTCAAGTAATTCAGGACAGGTTATTAGTCCATTGAGTAGCTTGAATGCATAGCATAGATCTGCATGAATTCTTCTGGTTTGCAATAGTTTCAGCCCCATTTCTTGTAATATACTCAAATAGTCATGGTACTGTATTTGAAGACCCAACTTGAAAGAACAAAATCTCAAAAATGTGTTTTGCACTCTTTCTAGAGACACACAGTGCGCATTGTAAAATGGAGACCAAATGATACATGCATATTCTAACTTAGACACCACTAGAGCTAAATAAATCCTTTTTGATGCTTCAATGGAAAATCTTGAACAATGACGTAAAATAAGGCCCAGTGTTTTTTGAATGATTTCACAGTCACTTGGTTAATATGGTTCACAAATTTGAGTTGTTCGTCAAAAATGACCCCCAAATCTTTTATGGAGGAAGTGTATTCTAAGTGCTGATTATTTATGTTGTATGATGTATCGAATTTCCTACCAACTCTTGAGAAAGTAATAAAATGTCATTTATTTACATTAAGAAATAAGTTATTTGTAACGCACCATTTATAAACGTCATCTAGATCATCTTGAAGGAGAATTTGGTCATTTTAAGACTTTATCGGTCATTATCATAGAGATATAGAGACTTGAAAATAAAAATATTCAGTATTAAAATAAATACAAAGTATTAAGTAATGGTAAACAACGTAATATGTATATACATATATAAATTGATGGATGTAGCCGTTACTACGTGGTAGGAGATCATAATGAAAAAAGAAATGAAATTTTCAATGTTTTTTACCACTTTTACTTGTAACTAACGAGACTGCAGTTTCGTCCTATATGGACATTCTCAAACTTATACAATAAACAGTAAATAAAAAACAATTTATTGTATAAGTTTGAGAATGTCCATATAGGACGAAACTACGGTAACGTTAGTCACAAATAAAAATGGTAAAAAACAGAAATTTTCATTTCTCTTTTCATTATATACATATATATTTTAATATTAATACTTTCACAAAGAGGATTTGAAGCCTTAATAACTTTCTAATTATTATATGTGAGCGCTTTCGATAGCTGACCGTGCTATCATGTTCATCGCTATACTCAAAGCAATTCCGAAGATCTGCACATGTCTCATCAAATTTTTTATAAGCACTTTCGAAAGCTTTGATGGTTTAACGTTATATGATCACTGTCAACAGTATATGTCGACCGCACACTGAACACTGGGTCATGCGAAGACATGCGAGAGATACGGCTAGCGCTGTGTGTTAAAGTGAGGAGAAAGGGAAGCCAGACATACTGGCACCGTTATGCGTTACGTTACCAAGCGGTTTGCCCTCTCATAAAGAGTTATCACTTCAAAAAAACTGTTTCCGGAAAAACCTCCCTTAGTCGATTCAATGAATTGATTATTTGATTGATGAATTTGATTATGATATATGGAGTTTAAACAAACTATACTCTATCTCATTTTACGCTCGAGAAAGCTATTGTATATCAGCGAAACACGTGTCGCGGTTTTCGTAAAACCCTTTATAGTGAAAATAAAACGCTAAACTGTATTAATGTCTTTTAATATGGATTTTCATCAAGTATCGACCAGTTCTATTCAATTATTTTATAATAAATTCATAGCCAACAAAAAAAATAATTACTATACATTCGTTCATGCGTTTTAAAATGTCTAGTATAAAACATTTTGGGTTTTTATGATTCAGTATTTTATTATCGTACAGTTTTCCACATTATATTCATCACACGACTTACGAACGAGAGCATTTTTATTACAATCTCGTATAAAGACACGGAAAACATCCAGAGCGTATCGGTCCTTGGAAATCCGTCGTAACTTCCGGATTTATTTATTCTTCTTGCGTGAAATCGGCCATAGAAAGTTAGGCGTATCGGAAGTGCGGGAAGCGCGTCCCTGCAACGTCCCGACGCCCCGCGGCGTGAAAACGTCGGCCGTCGCCGCCGCTTTCCAACCCGAATCAAAGTGTCAACAAACAAACGACATTAGGAGAAGATCCCCGGAACCGCGCGGGTAGGCCGGAGAAAAAAAAGCCGATCGATTTCTTTCCGGTGGAGATCGGGTGACTGGAGTGACGTCACGGGATTCGTTTGGAGTTGAATCTACATATTTTATAAGGGCACGGAGGAATGTTTTTTGAAAATTACATTTTTACAAATCGGTTTTTCGTAGATTCTAGCAGAAAGGTATTCGTTCTTTCCGGCGAGAAAACATTACAGAAAACCTCACTAGCAATTGACTATTATGCTGCCGTAATTCGTCTTTTAAGTTCTTCAATATCAGAAAGTTGTGTTTTGTGCCTCCAAAGAAAGAAATCTAAGGGTGTTAAATCGATCTCGGAACCTATTCAACTGCTTCCCTTCTGCCAATCTATCTATCCGAAAATATCTCGTTTAACCACTGTCGGGCGGGGTGAAAATAATGAGGTGGAGCACAGTCGTGCTGGAAATTTAACAAATCCTCCTGCAAAAGTTCATTACCTTCTGCATCCATTTGAGTTTCTAGCTCTTGAGTTATAAGAGAATCGATAGTCTCTTCAAGCATTTCAAGGTAGAAATTGTCAGTCAAGTTTTCTTCCAGAAAAATGGACCAATAATGGCACTTCCAAGAATACCAACCCGAACAATAACTTTTTGTGGGTGTTGTGTATGCCCTTTCCAAAAAATATGTGGTTTTTCGTCACTCTGATAGCGACAATTTTGTCTACTAATATTGCCATTCAGAGAAAATGAACAGTCATCGCTGAAACAGATGTTTGACATAAGATTAGGGATGGTATTGACACGATGAGACATGATTTCACAAAACTATATTCTTCTATCATAATCATTCTCGTGGACCTCTTGAAGAATCTGCATTTTATAAGGATGAAATGTATGCATTTTAAATGCTTTTCTTACAGTCTAACGTGACGTTTCCGTCTGTTCTGATACTGATCGTAAAGAGTTCGTGGGCTCTGCAGCAAATGTTCCCAAGACTTCAATTTGAGCTGCTTCATTTAGTACTCTGGGGTTATTTTTTTTTATTTGTCACTGAAACCGTTTTGTACAACTTTTTCACCAAATAAAGTACATACCGGTGACTTACATAACAATTTGGATGTTCCCCAACAGGTACAACTGTATGTACAATACTAATACCACATCGTTCAAATTTGCGAACCAATTTTTTGCCTGAAAACAGAAACTTTTTACAGCAAAGGTAGCAGCAAAAAAGAACGGCTATATGTACACTACTATTAGACTACTCTTTGGTGTAAATCAATTGTATCTAATGGCTAATGTTACCTCTAATAAAAGGTTGGAACGGTACTATCTTGCCAGTTCTGGTCAAACCATGCATCTCAGTATAGGCGTACTAATAATTACTTCTGTTAGTTTAAACGCTATTTTTGGAAAATGCTCATCAAAAAATAATAAGTCGGGTTATCATTGGAAGCAAAATTGAACGCAAATCAAAATGATGTGCTACTTGACCCCCTTCCCATTTAAAGTTCGTATCATCTACCCCTCCTAGGGGGTTGAACCAGGAGGGCTACAAATAGTTCGTAAAGTGTCCCCTTTGACAATAAAATTGACCTGTTTTTTCGATTCCTCATATCATCTACTGGAAGGAATATATCAAGGGTGGGAAGTTTTCAAACTGACACCCTGTATAATGGACAGTGTATAAACGCTCTGAGGAGTGGATATATTGTGGAGGAAGAATTAATTATATATCAAACTTTGAGTAAAGAAAGCTGAGGAGTGGGTGTGGATGATCACTTCACGAAAAACTTTTTATGCTTTATACTTTTCATGCAATTTTTTCATTAACCCTTTTGATGATTTTTTCGATGACTTGTAATAAGAATATTTCTAAATAAGACTTATTCGTGAAAGATACCCTAAATCAGAATAAAATTATTCTATTTCAGAACAAAAAGTAATCTTGAAAAGCATTCGGAAATACTTTTTAGTTTTGTTATTTTATTTATTTGATTTGAAATAGTTTGAAAATGAGTGGAAAACGTTCGGAAATGTGACTTAAACCACGATTGAACCCATGAACAACCACCACACTACCAAAGAGTTCTGACCACTACTCCAAGAAGCTGCTTACAAGTTCTGTGACATGAAACTATTTGAGAATCTATCACTTCAAATTTATTATCAATTGACCACCTTCTGAAAAATACCAATTTCTTTACCACATTACAAATTTCTAGTGGGTTTAACTCGTTTTAATTTTTCCTCTTAATTGATATATGATTGATTGACCAAGAGATAGTGAGATATGAATTTGGTCAATTGTTATTGTTTCGAAGATGTGTTTTACGTTGGTTAGTTACTCAACAAGAAACCGTGAAATATTTCACGCTTTTTTCAATAGTCATAGAAAAAATAATATTTACTTGTACCTATGAACTATCTGCTATGTAATGATGAAAGTTATTGCATTAATATTAATAAGTGTTATAGATTATTATAATCTGAATTCTTGATAGGTCAATAATATATTTTTT